AAAATCCGGTTTCTGCTGGGAGGATTTCGATGGAATCTTCTCAACTTCCAATTGGGTGCTGTTGGTAGTTTTGGCATGCTTCTCCTGTAATTTTTCTTTTAATTGTTGCCCTTCAAGCGCCTGAACACGTTTAAGCAATTGGTTAACAACTATTAACAATCGCTGATTTTCTGCAGCCAATTTCTCTTGCCCATCCTTTCCTGTACCATCGGTGTTTTTGTCCCCGACTACACCTTCTTTGTGACCTTCTACTTCGACTAATGAATTCCCTGTCTCTCTTTCATTCTCGGTTCCTTCCTCTAACTCGTTCCCATTTTCTGCGTAACCAACCTCAATCTCCTCGCGTTCATGCTCAGTTCTTTCTAACTCTTCCCTCATCATGCGGCTTAAACTCTCATTCACTATAGCCAACTCAGCTGCTCTTACTTCTGGTAGGTGAGACGCCATTGAAAAGTACACATTCAACAACCTCACACACTCACTTGCAACCACAGCTAAACTGTTCGCACACTCCTCATTGATATCACGGTGTTTTAGTCTTTCCATTCGGAACAGGATGTGAATCAATCTTGTTTTGAAACACTGATCCGGGGCTTTCTTTGACCTCCTGTTTTCCAAATAACTCTTCATCGCATTCAACTTATCATCGCATGTTTCTAACTCTTCTTCGATCTCTATGTACCTAAACTCAAATTGCACATCTGATTGCTCATCTTCTTTTTTTCAGGCTGTTGCGTAACGCTCGCTCGAGGCTACTGCGCGGTGCAATCTGATCCATTCCACGGATCTTCAACTCATGCTCGAGTTCATCCACGGTCAGAAAAGCAGTATTCATGCCGTGGTACTGCACAAGAAACAGTGACATATCCATCTTTGCAGTGTAATCCAACGTAAAATTTAGGAAATCGAATATAAAAGAACAGACTTCGTTCTCTCTCAGCGAACTGCTGTATAAAATTGAAAAAAAGCCTAGTTTTAAATACGCTTTCGCTGAATGAAAGCAAATTGAATTAGAAAAAAATACCTAAAATGTGTTTAAGCTTCTCAAACAAAGCAATTCATTAAAAATCCTTTTGCATTGTTCACTTTATGAACTTTAATTGAAATAAAGTTTCTAGGTTTGCTCGGTGTTTTAACTACACTCTTCCGAAAGCACACAGATCAAGATAGTCTTCCGGAACTTCTCGCGAAAACTATACTACTTTTCCGATTCTGTTTTAATTTGTATCTCACCTATATTGGTAGCTATTCTAGCCACTTGGGACTTCCAAGACCTCTAAAATAATGATACCGATTACAAAATTTTGTTGAGTTTCTAAGTAGTTCGTGACGTCAATTCCGTGTGTGATTTCTGGACGTTTTCCCAGAGACTTCTGCAAGAAAAGTTGGAAAGATGTTAAGCGTTTCCTTAGCACGGAATGCCAAAGACAATTCTCGTTGGGCGCCAAAGTGTAACGTGCCAGTGCGGTGTTACTCCCAGCACTGATGAGACCCCCGTCTCCAAGCCTCAGGGTCGGCACACGCTCGTGATTATTCCGCGAACCAAGAAAATACTCAAAGTTCACTTAAGACAAACTCCCACTTTATTCGTTTTGACGACACTCACTTCACGGACGGTCTCCCACTTCCTTAGATGTCTACTCCTACCTTGTGCTAGCACTACTCTTCTTTGTCTTCGGGGCCCCTTCACCTGCCACTGCCGTCGTCGTTCCTTTCCTTCCTCTGGTACCGCATCACCTTCTTGGGCCAGGGGTGGACGCCTCTACCTGTCCCGTGCGCCCCTCGAGTATGGTGACGGACTCGAGGTTTCAACGAACCACAAGGGTAAGTTGACTTGCCTGGATTGGTGGCGCACACTGTAGCTGAGGGATCAGATTCTCGAACTGCGATTCGGACACACTATCGGCGTTTGGCGTGGTCGACTCCGGAAAAATACGTTGAGTTCACTGGCGTTACGGTAAAACCGCGAGGTCCTGGCTGTCCAATGGCATGTGGCAACTTCCTCTACAACATCTTCAAACTTCCAACTTAGCTCACTTTAGCACTTTAGCTTTAGTTTTCACCTTCAAACTATTAATTTTTAGCTTTGACTGTCGCTATGTGACCGTAAAGGGTGTCCACGATGAAATTGCCACACTATGAAATTGCTCTAACTTTTTAACCGTTGGGTAGAATTTAATGAAAATTTTGATGGATTTAGTTCATAGTGCATTATTTACATCCTGCAAGTTTTAAAGTCCTGTGATCAAAACTCGCGGAAATGGAGTCGAAAGAACAGTTCGTGCGTGATAAAATCTTGCGCATTCATCACGAGAACAAGGATCTCTCGTATCGTTCCATCGCTAAAACGTTGGGAATCGAGAATTCCACGGTGTCGCGAGTGATTAAGCGGTTCGAGGAACGGTTGACCACCGATCGGAAGCCCAGAAGTGAAGGAAAAAGTATTCCGTACAACACCAAAAATCACAACCGCGTAGTTGGGGCCTTCAACCGAAATCCGAACGCCTCCGTTAGGGATGTGGCTAAGAAGCTGCACCTAAGCCGAAGTTTTGTCCAGAAGGCCAAAGCTAAGGCTGGGATTCGAACGTTCAAGGTACAAAAGGCCCCTAATCGCGACGAGAAGCAGAACAAGTCCGCCAAAACCCGTGCCAGGAAGTTGTACCTCAACATGCTGACGAAAGTTGAATGCTGCATCATGGACGACGAAACATATGTGAAGGCCGACTTCAAACAGATCCCCGGCAACCTGTTTTTCACGGCCAAGGATAAGTTCAGCGTTCCGGAGCATGTCCGCACTCAGAAGATGTCCAAATTTGCGAAGAAATTCCTGGTTTGGCAAGCCATCTGCACATGCGGGAAGCGGAGTGCACCTTTCGTGACCCAGGACACGATGAACGGACAGGTGTACATAAAAGAGTGCCTCCAGAAGCGGCTGCTTCCTCTCCTGAAGGCCCACAACGTCCCAACAATCTTCTGGCCGGATTTGGCCTCATGCCACTACTCCAAGGACGTGCTGAAGTGGTATGCGGACAATAAGGTCAATTTCGTGCCGAAAATGTTCAACCCTCCCAACACTCCGGAGCTCCGCCCTATCGAGAAGTACTGGGTGATTATGAAGCAGCACCTTCTTAAACGACCTAAGGTAGTGAAGACAGTCGAGGAGCTGAAGAAAGTATGGGTTTACATGCAAAAAACGGTTGATTCACAGGTTGTGCAGAATCTTATGGCCGGGGTTAAGGCCAAGGTGCGGGCATTTGCGTATGGACTGTAAATAAAATACGAGTAAAATGGTAAAATGAAGTTTAATAGTTATTTCTCAATCCCTGAAAATTTGATGGCAATCGGATGAAAACTCGAATTTTGCGAATCAATTTTGTGTGTGGCAATTTCATCGTGGACACCCTTTAGTCTATAATGATCACCAGGCTTATGACTGTGCCTCTTGGTGGACGATGACCCCGAACCGTGACCGTTGAACCGTCGTACGTGCTACGAATTCTCCACGCAATGGCCCGATTACGCCACCCCTATGGACGTCCATTCATGACTGCACACAGCGTGCTCTGGTGGTGGCTAGTGGCATTGTTCTACAGTTTATAGGGAAGTGTCTTCTACTGGCTGCGTTCGTGAGGATTCTGGGACGTTTTACCTTTTACGAACATTTAAACTTTTTCTTGGAATTTAATAACTAAATATACGAAAACTACACGCGATTAATCTCACCAATCTTGGACGCAACGCTTACACTTGTTACATATATCAATGAAATTAGTCATAGCAGAGTAACAGAACGAGTTTAAAAACAAATGGGGAAGGACAATAGACACAAGTTGACACAATACACAAGACAAGTTGGGGTTAATACACAAGACAACATGATAAAATAAGTGACGACAGAAGACAAGACTGGGACAAAAATTAATCTTTAAAAAAAAAACAAGAATGCGCAATTATATTATCAAAACTATTTGGATCAACACAAAAACAACAGTGACCAAACGGGCACCATAGCCTAGGAACGTCTGTATGTTGATTTAAAATAAAGGCTCATAGAAGCAAAAATTATCAATAAAAGGGGTCCAGTGTAGAGTTTAAGCAAGTGTATGCTGCCACTGTGATCATTAAAAAAAAGAAATCCTTTGAATATTTCTAGTAATTATTATCTATCAAAACAACAAATATTACAAATTCTCGGTCATTGCGGGTTTATGATCATTTTATTCGATTATATTTTATATTGAAATGCAATACTTTTCGTGGAGCTTTCATAGCATCGTAAGGATTGTTTACTTTGCACGACAGATAGCCGGTTTGATTACAAAGTCATATTATGAAGTTACTGACATCCATAACCATTTCCATTAAAGTTCTAGAACCATAAATAAAAAGGTTCTTATATAGTTCTATGTGCCAACATGTATGGAGAAAACAAGAATTTCGAATGGTAATGGTTCTTAACAACCCATTATTTGTAAAGTCCAGCTCCTAAAATCCACAATGGTTCTTGTTGGCTCTAAAGATTGGGCCCAACGATAAAAATCTCCTGTTCTTAATTTTTTTTTTCTTAGAACAATGCGTCATCAGGACAATACAAATGGATAATTAATGTTGCTAGTGGAAAATATTAAAAAAAATACTCTCCTTCGAAATTTATGTATGGGCTCAAGATTAGGAACACTTAGGCCGACATTAGGGACATTAACCCTACATAATGTTAAAACTTTATCCCATAAACGTTCATGTAAAGTTCAATAACCGTTTCAGTTAAATTTTAGCAGGGATTATAAACCAGTTTTAACCACTTTTGTAAGGTCAAGTTATGGTTCGCGTTGATGACCACTCGCCTTTCAACGCTTGAGACTTATGAAATTCTTAGGTCTATTTTCCTCAATGTAGCCATCGAAAATTAACGTAAAAGTTTTTATCAGGGAAATATTGTAAAGATTGGGCTGCAGACTTTTTCCTAAAACTCGAGGATCCCTCATTTAACACTAACTTACTTTTTGTAATCCGGCGGTAGCTGTAAGTCATCTCCGTCAATGTTCTGGATGAACAAGTCATCTGGTTGAATGCGTTCCTTCTGTACTCCAGACGGTGCAATGTAGATTTCATCACTGTTGACAAAATAAAAAGGTTTAATTGTGTTATAACCCGAGATACATGCTAGGATCATACTCAAGTTTGATGCTGATGCCTCCGCCCGTACCAGTGACCCATCCAAGATTATAGAATTGCTTGCACAGTTCTGGAATCAATTTTCTGGGATGTTCCTACAATAACATTTCTAATATTATCTTACTTAGTTTTAATCATTTTATCGGTTCTAATTGATTACTAAAAAAGATCAACCAATTTGAAACGACATCACATTACAGTGATAGTACATTCTTTGTAAAGAAATATTAATTGCTTTGAATGCTAAAATGTATGTATTGAAATTATCATCTATTAAAGGGATAGAGGAATTACCTTATTTATAACGTTATCATAAATCTAAAAGAAAACACGCACACGGTTGTTTTTAAGTATGTGGATTTTATGTACGTGTATATTTCGTGGGGCGGTATCAAAGGAATGAGTAAAAAGAAACAAAAAGAAAGAAGAAAGTTAATTTAGTTCAGGTACCTCGATTTGAAATAAATCGATATTGATTCTACACGAGAAGAGTAAATACATAAGACGATATGAACGCGCTCAGCGATGCCTGTTCTGTTACTATAAAGCATAACATAATATAGATGCAACATTGATGGTGGTATGCTTCAAGGAGAATTACCAGTCCTATTTTGAAGATCTGTTTTACTTTGGTTGGCATCGACTTCATTTGTTACCACGATTCACATGACAAGATTTTCAAGACAGGACTGCTATTGCAATTTATTGAAGCTTGAAGCATACTATTATGAAAATTTACATTACATACCAAACATACATACCTATTGTACCTATTGCATCTAGCTCTTATCTCTCTGTGCCAGTTATTGTTTATTTACTAATTTAAATACATGCGGAAGAATCCGAATAAACAGAAGGTATTTTGTAACATTATTTTCATAAATTGTATGTTCAAAGAAGAACTCCACTGTATGTGAAGCATAAAAAAGCTACCGAAACCAATAAGGTTTTACCTCAGGGTTTGCACCGCCGGGGTTAACCTCAATCGGATGGCAGTTCAGTAGTACTGTGGACGTACGTAGTACGTGTGCTTAGTTAATTTTTTCTTGGATAGATTTTCTCGATAATTTTTCAGACTGAAGTGAGGTGTAAACCACACTTCTGCAATACATATGTCCGCGAGCAACATCCTTTCATTGCGCATTTCATCGATAATTTTCAAATTAAAATTCGTACAATTTAAAATATTTTTTTTTTCGAAAAAAAAATGCTAAGTGCTTGTAAATAAAGCCCTATAGTAAAAGTATGAACGTCTTTCAAAAGTTGTTCCAATCGAGCTTGAGCTTGAGCTTGAGCTTGATTGACCGCCAACGGTTGCTACTCTGTTACTGCCAGATCAGCTGTAATTACACAGAGAACCAATAGACGATGCTTGGGACTAGCAATCATCCTCAATGTGTAAAAACTGGTGATCTTAAATTAGGCAATACCAGCGCCGGCCGCGCCCGAACACAGGTCAAGAAAGGAATGGGAAGGATTGTGTTGACATGACACTCGCTTTGATGGAAGCCGAGAACACCTCTGCAATGCCACGAGGAATCACTGGGATGTTGGATAAGAGGGTTGGGTTTGCAGCAGGGTTCGTTTTGGTAAACGATAAGCTGAATTGATGTCTTAACGATCATATAACGCGAAGGAGCTTGGGACTAAACCCACGGTCTTCTGCTCAGTAAGCAAAAACGTTTGCCACTAGGCAGACGAGCACCTTTTTAATCACCGAGTTGCTGTTATTACCATGTAGTCATATTAACAAATAAAACGATTGACGAATCTTGAATGTGGATGGGCCTGAGATTAGACTCATGATGTTCTGCTCAGTAAGCAAAAACGGTTGCTCTAAGGCCACCGAGCCCCTCATATCACATAATACCGTTGCTCAAATTTGTGTATCCATTCAAACCCGGAACCAACGACAACAACGAGTTTCGCAAAATACACGATACACAAGCGATTTTACCATAAATCTCTTTGATATGTAAGGACCTGGGACCGCGTTTTTCTGCTCAGTAAGCAGGCCACTGTAACCGACGATCTTTCAAATCCGAAAACTAAAAACTACGAAAAAGTACTTAGGCCTTCATTAAGTTCCACTTTCACGCGACGTTCAATGACAGGGTCCTATCCAGGATTACATCTGAAAAATCCAAATCTGGCCAACGCCCACCTTAAACCTAAACCTGTTCTAATCCACCTGAAATGACTAACGAATGGAAGACTTTGACTACCCAGCCATGCAACCCACCCAGGGGAGACTTGGTCCTGTACCCAATGCTTAACTTATCTCCATTCCACTCAGCTACTTGCAATTTCTTGTGATATAGTGGGCGGAATATTATTATATGAGACAATTCAATGCAGACGTCTTTCAAAATTTGGTAGATCGACAGGTAATCGGTGAGTTACCACGATAGTTGCTATTCAACAACTCGACAACGTCCCATCGTCAACGCCTGCTATGAGAATTCCCCATTGCAGACACCAACGAAATGACGTCATCGAGCTATCGATCAACTACCCTGGTTATCGCCTGGTACCTTATAGCACGATGCTAGGAGGCGAACCGGAAGAATCGATGAGCTACCTCTCAGTTCCAATCGAACCGTCAAAATGCACCGCTTTGCTCGATTCTTGGAACAGCTTTTTTCAGTTTTGTGGTGGCAGTCGTCCATACTTTAACTAGAGGGCTTTACTTGTAAACAGTATCACCAACAATCAATACGAAACGAACGATTTTAAATTGGCTCACCACTTTAGTAGCCTATTGGTCCCAAGCAAACGATTAACGTACCCTATTCTAGTTGAAATTCTATTACTACACTATGTTTGTTTTGATTCGCTATGAAAGTTTGACAGATAACATCAGGGGTGTGTGGATTCATGCAGAACATGCAGGAGTGAGTGAAATAGCTTGGGACTGCTTGGGACCGTTGTTCTGGTACTGAGTGAGCCAAAAATAATAATGATTTTCTTCGGGACCCAGTGGTCTTAGAGTTACCTCTATGGTATCACTGAACTGTCCAGATTGAGAAGTTATAACATGTTATAACGGTTGTCAAATAATTGCAACACAGAAACCCAGCCCAGTGGCAGGCGCGTAGGCAACATGTCAGGCATATCATTTGATAACGGCACAAAAGCATTTGTAAACAAATTTTCTAAGGCCCTTTACACGTGAACCAAAGTACGCCCACGCAAACCAACAACATCATCGGATAGGGGCAACTATCATCTTTCCGAAAGTGGTATTGGTTTGCGTGGGCGTACTTTGGTTCCCGTGTAAAGGGCCTTAGAAAGTTTGTTTAAAAATGCTTTTGTGCCGTTATCAAATGTTATGCCTGACATGTTATAACTCTGTACACTGAAACAAATCGACATGTACCGTTTATTGGATCCATCTTATAACATAGGAATGACAGCAGATTTATTCATTCTATGTGATGATTGATAGATTCCATTGGATTATCACTTAAGAACTATGACTGCGATATGGAATGATTTCTATCGTAATTTCACATACTTAGTACTTGATAATACTTTGCTTCGAGTGTGGTTAGCAATAGGTAAGATGTTTATGAATATTGTCTGATATATTTCATGGTGAAAAACTGGTGGGAACAGACATCTAGAAACTAATGGAAAATCCTATAAGTTTGCACTATGAGAAAAGTCAGTAAAATATACCTGTTTTCATGATGACTAATCAAAAATCACTAAAAGATATATCTTATAAGATAATTATGTTTATTTTATTGGAGTTGCTTTTAACCATTTTTGACGTTTATTGATATGTCGCGTGTAAACAGACATGTAGAAACTATTGGACAGTCATTTAACTTTGTAGTATAGGAAAACCTTTATATCTCATTGTAATAGCTTCCTTTGATTTCGGACGTTTAAAGATTGTAAACAGATCTATCCCAGTCATATACATTTGCCTTTTAAGAAATCCAACAGCAAACATTTGTTTTGGCATGGTTTTCTGGGATCGCTCCCAACAAAATACATCTTACATGATTGTTCTTCATAAATTATTGAAACAATTTTCAACGATGTTATCGTACACTCATTAAAATGATAAGTCGAAATAAATATAGCTAACAACAATGATACTGTATTGAATAATCCTTGTTTGTTATTGTTCCATAAGATAAGGGGTTCCGGAAAAGAATGTATTGTGATTGAAAAAATGATTTTACTGCAATATTTACTTTGCTAAGATTCTAATTGCAAGCCTTCCACACACACTTAGAAATTATCGCCGAACAGCTGAGCTGTTCGGTAAAAGCTACTTTGAAACTAAATCTCTACTAAAATTACAAGATTTGATCATTTAAACAAGGTTGAACATGTTTTGAAACTATTTTCAAATTCAATTGCCTTTAAAATGAAGGTCAAAGTTTTACCGAATGTTCAGTTGTTCTGATTTCGGTAAAATCTACCGAACAGAACACGGAAACAAAATCTTAGTGTGCACGGCTAATTCAGATTCCAGCACTAGTACTCAAACTTCATGAACCAGTTCCATGAACTCATATAATGTAGTCGTTGTTTTATTGCACACAGGAGCATTAAGAAAGATTTGAATACACGACACCACCGAAACGGAGCATAAATTTGTTAGTGCTATTTTTCTTCACTCGAGCATAACGTTGCACTACATTCCATGTCGGGAGAGCTGTTCTTACTTCATGCTAATTGAACGAGCTCAATATTGAAATCAGCCGTGGCCCAGTGGAATCGAGCGCAGACACCGAAAGCATCACACCTCAACACAGTTCTGGATCGAATCCCAAATCAGCTACAATAAAAAAAAGAAACAACTGTGAAAGCTCCCACTGCCTGATGTTTATTTTAAGAAATCGATTAAATATATGTGTCAAAAGAAGAAGTAAATTTCATGTGAATTTCACATAAACTTTACTTCGATTGATTTATGACACATATATTATATTGTGGTGGTGAAAAGTAAAGCTTATGCTTATGGGTTTCAAATCCATTTCAGTTTATTATTATAATTTGACCGATTTTCATTTATCATATGACGATCATATAAAAGTTACCAATTTATCAGCATTGTAAATGTATCAGATATTCATATAGAATTTACCTGACACATTTTCAATCATATCATATTCATTGGATTATCTTATAGCGCAAATTTATTAGACTTCCACATAACAGGAATATGTCATATTGGTTCAGTGTAGTCTGAACGTACTATATATAACGTACTATACTATTATGTCTAACCCCGACGGTGCAAAATCTAATAGACGAGTGCACGGATGGACTTGAGTTCCCCTAATAAAAAATACAAT